CCCCAAAACCCCAAAACCCCAAAACCCCAAAACCCCAAAACCCCAAAACCCCTGCAAGGTGGAGCTAATTGAAATTTTTACTTTAGAAATCATCAAATTTATGTTTATTTTTCATAACTAAGTCAAGCTTGCTAGGGGCAAGGCTGGTCTCGCTGACATCTCCTTGTTCATCCCTTCTCTTCTTGTTAAACCCTAAGGAAGATGAGATTCCTCCGAGAATGTGAGATTTAAGGTTCTTTTCCTTAATCTCAGGCATGTAAGGGGACTTAATCTGTTTATTCTTCAATTTTTCCCAGTCAATGTCCTTGAACCAAGGGTGGTTTAGAACATCCTTTGATGAGTTATGTCCAAGCCTCCTACTTGGCTTCTTGTGCAGAAGCTTTGTAATGAAGTCTTTGAACTCTTCAGACATATCAATCTTATGCTTCACCGGATCTGGGAAAATTATCCGCCCATTTTTAATCAATTTCGTTGTCTGGTGAGTATTATTTATGCAAGAAGGGAGTTCTACCTGTCCTAAGTTCATAAACGAGAATTCCAAGTGTCCACCAATCGACTGTGAAGCTATGCCCTTGCTCTTTAATAATCTCTGGTGCTAGATATTCTGTAGTTCCTCAGAAGCTATAAGTGAATGGGTTTTCTTTCGGTAAAGGTTTAGCAAGCCCAAAATCAGCAAGTTTTAAATAACCGTCAGCTCCTAACAGAACATTCTCTGGTTTTAAATCTCTGTGAACAATTCCATGGTCATGCAAGAAAGAGAATGCCAGAACCAATTGGGCTGCAAAGAACTTCACTTGGTGCTCTTTGAACCTCTTTACCTTGAACATATTCTGATAAAGATTTCCTCCCTCAATAAAATCGAGGAAGAAATAAATTCTAAGGTCGTTCTGGATGACATAACTCATACCTAGAAGGAAAGGATGTTCGAGGTCTAACAAGATCTTCTTCTCATTTTGGGTATTTTCAATCTGCTTCTTCTCAATAAGCACGTCTTTTCTGATTCTCTTCATTGCGTAAAATCTTCCGTTGAGCTTATTTTCAACCAAAAAGACCTTCCCGAAAGATCCTTTATCCAAGACTTTAATGATTTTGAAGTCTTCAAGCTTAGGTTCTTTATTAGCACAGTCGTCATAGTCATCAAGAGACTCAAAAGAAAGCTCTGAGTTTTCCTCATTTAGGACTTCTAAGCCCACAGTTTCCTCAATCTTACTTTTCTTTTCTTCATCCTGGTATCTGAATTTTCGATTTTCTTCCCTATATGACTTTCCCTTGGGTGCTTTTTCCTTCTTCTTCCGGCTGAAAATAGTCTCTGAGAGTCCAGAAGACGTCATTCCCTTCTGCTCATAATCAATGAGGTCAGATTTGTTATAAATATCGACCATGCGGGCCTTCTCCTTCTTCTGCTGTGGCTCGGTCCTCTTGATGACAAAGTCATCAGTTGGGTCACTTTCGTTCTCTTTGTCTGCGTCCTCCTCCTCATCTGAGGAAGAGTTGTGGACAAGCCTCTCTGTCTTGTCACGAAGGCTGATGTCAGGCATCCGGCTGATCCCTTGCTCTGCTTCTTCTTGAGAAGTCACATACTCGTCTAACTTCTTTTTAACTGATACAAATATGGGCAAGTTTTTATTTAGTTAGAGTGGAAAATACTCTCTTGACCATATCAATGAGGATGTCCTTCCTCTGGATTTCCATGATTTCGTCTTCTTCCCCTCCACAGTGGAGGACGACGTAGTCAGACTGTCTAGACTTGGTGATGCCTTCTAGCATTCCAAGCGCTATAGTCCTCTGCTCATGATTTGTGCTGCTATCTGTAATAATCAGCCTGTAGTCTGTGACAAGGATATTGTACATCTTTTTGAAGAATAGGAGGAAGTCCTTGTGGCCTACACATTCCACAAGGACGGTTTCCTCCTCAAATTTTGGCAATTGGTAAAATAAGTTTGCTCCAATATTAGCGGTCTTCTCCATTTTCTAATTTGAATTATTACAATAACACTAAGTTTGCTCGGGGTTTTGGGGTTTTGGGGTTTTGGGGTTTTGGGGTTTTGGGGTTTTGGGGTTTTGGGG